GCTATGTTTATTGATTTGAAGAATTGATTATGAGAGTTATATTTATTATTATAAGAGAGCTATATTTATTGATTTCAAAGGGTTGTATTTATTATTATGAGAGAGCTATATTTATTGATTTCAAAGCGTTATATTTATTATTATAAGAGAGCTATACTTATTGATTTCAAAGCACGTTATATTTATTATTATAAGAGAGCTACATTTATTGATTTCAAAGGGTTATATTTATCATTATAAGAGAGTTATATTTATTGACTTGAAGAATTGATTTTTTACGAGAGGGTTATATTTACTATTATGAGAGAGCTATATTTCTTGATTCCAAAGAGAGTTATATTTTATCACTATAAGAGAGCTATATATATTGATTTCGAAAAATTCTATTTATTATTACAAAAGAATTACACTTATCGACTTAAAAAATTGATTAGTAAAGGGCTACATTTATTACTACAAAAGAGTCATATCTATCGATTCAAGGGAATCATATTCAACAATATATAAAACAGTCATCAACAACATCGCACATGTCACTGCGAAAATGATTTCGAACAATCAACCCCATCCATAAAAACATTAAACCATCTCTCTGACATCTTTGGTCGACAAGTTTCAATCGCGAATAAAAAGGAAAACAAATCGAGGCACACAGCCGGGGCTGCGAATCCGCCAAAAAAAAATATGATCGACGGACCGGTTCGAAAAGACGTCCCTCCGAAATTCCCAAGCGAGCGTACATACTGCGTGAAGCCTCGGCGACCCTCCGGTAGCAAAGACAACGATCTCTCCTCGCCTATCTTCGATCAGGCTCCGAACAAAGGAGCCATCGCGACAACGGAGTCAGTCAGACGGTTATCGTGTACCTCGTACAAAAGGGAGAACAGCGTATGCCTGGCCGTCCTTCGAAGGACATCTCGGTGCCCGAAGGGTTGACCTGGCGGCCTGGAAAGGGCTCGCGGCTCGCCACCGATCGGACAGGTCCCTCCACGAGCACTATCAAACGTCGACGTCGTCGAGGATATCCTCGGACCACTCGGATGCTGCGCACCACCCGCACACACCCCCACCTCCGATTATCACTCTTTCTCCACTAACCTCCTTTTTCCTCTCTCGGGCTACGTTCGACCGCGAACCATCTCTGGGAAACTCGTCTGGCCGGCCCTGCCAGCTGCCGCCCCATGAATCCTCGAGATTCACCGACAATGGCTGGTCACCCCGAGTCCTCGGCTCTGTCACAGTCCCTCCAGCCCGCTGCCAGACCGTCCTCCATCACCTGGCCCGAATACTTTCGCTCTTTCTCGCAGCTCGCGCTCTCTGGTCGCTCCTCTCCGCTACGACAGCCCCATCTCCGCGCCCTTATCGAGCGCGCAATCCTCGCAACAGCTCCTCCACCGTCCGTCGATCGTCCAACGCGTTCGCTCCGCGAATATTTACTTGTTTCTCTGTTCAATATCTCTGTCCTCGGAGCGTCGATTTACCAGGACAGCCCCGTCCCCGCTGCTTTATCGAACGCGCGCGGACACCGAACACCGACATCCCCGTTCTCCCGTGTAACCCGAGCAACCCCTCTTCAGCAACAAGTCGTCATACCACCGTTCAGCACTGCTCGGCACCCTTCCACTAGGACACGGTCACAGCCCGGTTCCTGCTCGCTTATCGAACGTCGGTCAAAAACGGATAGCCGTCGCGGTTCCGCGGCTCTCACGGCCCGCCGATCATCCGGTTTCGTTCCTGGCGTCGGATTAGCGCCCGCAGCCCTCTTATTGCTCGCTTATCGAACCGGCTGCCTCGTCGAATCCACCGGGAAATATACCTCGCCGCCCTCCGATGCTTCTTCAAGCGTCCCCCGTCCACGCCGCCGTCCCTCTCGGCGCGCCCCGCGCGGCGTACAGCGTGCTCGGCCCTTTGATCTTCGAGCACAGCCCCATTCCCGCTCGCTTATCGAATCCTTTCGCGGACGGAACGACGGAGAAACCGCGGATTAACACACTTCCGTCGTCCAGCACTCTCCCTTTCGCGAGCTGCTCCGCCACTGTGTTTCGCCGCCGTCCTCCCGGGGGTGGCCTCTCCAACCCCCTCCCGCCGCCCCAGCCCCGTCCTACCGCCCTGCCAATCCGTGCCACTCACCTATTTATCTTTCGCTTCTGTTTAGACACCGATAACGTCAGCCTGTGCCGCCGCCGCTGCTGCTGCTGCTCCGCGCTCGCCATGCCTCGGAGGCTGCCGCAAAATGAACCACGCATGTGCAGCCCCGTTCCTACCCGGCCGACCTACTGACACAGAGTCACCGCTGTCTCTGGATCTCGATGCCGGGATCGAACGCTGGGCATCCCCTCGACCCCGAACGCCGGGGAACCACGCTAACGTCGAGAGTCGTTAACCCTGGGCGATAGCCGTCCCATCGATCTCGGGCTCCCGATGCGCCGGCTTGTCGGAGATTCGATTTTCTTTTCTCTTTTTTTTCATGGCTCTAGCGTTTTTCCCCGATTTTTCTACGACCGATCATCCCCGCCGCGACTCGGTCCGATTACGAGTTTCGGACGAAGCGGAGACCTCGCGGGTTTTATTTTCGCGGGGCTGGTTGGAAGAGGCGACAGGGAAAGTGTCTCCAGCCGGGCGAAAGTAGAAGCTTCCAGCTTCAAAATGAGCCGGGGTAGATCGCTGTGCGATTTTTTTTCACGGAGCTACGAGGGGTTCGATTTTACAACCCCCCGGGCCTCTGCTGCTCTGGATACGATGCCTCGTCTAGCGCGCTGTTTCGTGGGAAAACATTTTATGAAATGTGGCTCTCGGAGGAGGTTGAAGCTGAGATTTCAGGCTTTGAAACGAGCTTTGGTGCGACGATGTGCGATTGTTTTTCACGAAGTTACAGGCGGGGAGATCTTATCGCGTTCTTAAGGACGTTTCTGACTGTGTACATCCTGTCATCCGGGCGTTTTTTTTGTAGCAAAGCGATGTTTAAAAATTACCGCTCTTAGCAGGGGTTGGAGTAGACGTTTCAATCTTTAAAATGAGCTATGGTACGTGGTTGTACGATTGTTTTTCACGATGTTACGACGCGGTAAACTTTTCATCCCCTATTTGGAGATATCGCTGATATGGAGAAACTGTCGAAAGGAAATTGGAAAACACTGTCACGAAGGAAAACAATTTAAGGGGGTAGAAACTAGAATCTTTCCTCTTTAAAATGATTCTAGTGAAATCGCCGTAACGCTTTTCACATCGTCGATTTTTCGCGAAAGTTTCATGAACACTTCGACGTCGGGATCGAATCGTTTTCTTATTTAATCTTCGGCCACGTTTCGCATCGGCCACGATCGACGGAAATAGGATCCTCTGTTTCCGTGGCGCTCGTTTCCTTTAGAAAATTCGAAAGGGTACAGAGAGTAGTTCTCTGGTCGAGCAGAAACGGGATCGGGCGAAAGTGTTTGAAGAAGCGTCGAAGCTCAATTACAGCGACGACGCCCGGTTTTCGATTCGAGGCACGGCGCTCTTTCCAGTTTTCCTTTCATTATAATGTTGCCGATGTTGTCCCAGTTTTTCCTGAAGTACACATTTTTCAGGAGGAACCTGAAAGACCGTGTTCCCGCGGATCCCTTAAGGGGACGCGACGCGTTAGGAACGCCGGCGAAAGAAAGGTCGGAGTTGAAAATCAAAATTCTCACCCCCTAGAGCCGTTCTCCTTTCGAAAATAATTGACGCTCTTGCGTGCTGCTAATTTGACCCAAAATTAACGTTTCTTCCCGTCTAATCGATACACGTGTGTGTCTCTCTGCTAATATAATATTTATAGTTTGCAATGTAAAATATATGCACGTGGAAGTGAATAAATTAAAAATATTAGAAATTAAATATATATATATTGAAAATGAATAAATGTATATGGAAAATAAATATGTATTGATTACGGAGAAATTTATATTAGAAATAAATATGTGTTGATTATGAAGAAATTTGTATTAAAAATAAATATGTGTTGATAATGAAGAAATTTATATTGAAAATAATAAAAATATATATGCTTAAAGTAAGTAAACACGTAACATATAACAAGATATTTTAAAATAGAAAATATAAGTGTACTAATAAGTGTGTTTATAT